TGGGTTTTAAAAATATTATTAAATTTTAAATATTTATTAGGCAAACACGTCAGGAAATTACTGTTACTATGATTTATGCTATATGGATAAATTTTGTTAGTACAATTGCAAGCTTATCAGTTGAAATTCGTAAATTCGCGGTTGGACGTAAAAAAACGTTGATATTAGCTGTAGCCGTTATGTTATTTTTTATATTATTAAGGTCAACGAGTGACATTGATGAAGTCAGTATCATAAATGATAATGAAACGAGACAATATGATGATATTTATGATTTACTCATGTCCAAAATTGGGTCTATATTGGGTCCTAATCATGGTCCAAGAACAATTCCACACATGTTAGATGTACATATGAACCTTGAACAATCAATACAAAAAGTAGATGAGATGTTGCGAAAAACTGTGCCACCAATTGTTGAACGAGTTCTTCGCGAAAAGTATGGTTCGATTATTCTTCCCGACAAAGAGCAACTTAATGAATGGGTGATGTCGGCTGCCCATAGCTTAGTTCAAGAATATGTTAAAACAGATATTCGTAATATGCCAGATTTCGCACTTTCATCAGGCGGTGCTCGTATAATTCACAGTCTAACTTCTAGACCATATTCCGAAATGCCAAACACAAAATTTCATAAAATGTTCTCTCTATTACTTTATAATGGATATGTGCATGGACATAAAGCACATGTTGCTATCGATGGAAACAATCAGATTGGGAATTGTTTCGCATTTGCAGGAATTCGAGGTCAACTTGCAATTCAATTGAGTAGAACAATATATATTACCACTGTCTCTTACCAACATTTAGATCGAAATTTAGCATTAGATGATACTAATATTTTAAGTTCACCCGCCAGATTTGCCGTGCTAGGAATTCCTGATGAAAAATATTTATCAAATACAACGTCAAAGGCCTTAGAAGTATCGCAAGGATTCGTACGACTTGGTGAATTCATTTATGATCTGGAAGGTCCACCTGTACAGATATTTCAGGTTGAGCATAAAAATGGGAGTGAACGAATACCCATAAAAAGTGTGATATTTAAGGTCAATAGTAATTGGGGGCATGATAGGTACACGTGTTTGTATCAATTTAGAGTTCATGGAAGGAATGTAAAAAATATGTTGGGACAACATCAAAAACTTCCATATTCAAAAACATTTGAGAGTACACCTGTCGGTACATAGCTGGGCGTGAATCAGTTTTTTTTTAGATGTGGCGTTTTGGTTTTGGGTTTTTAGGAATTCATTAGTAAATTACCAATTATGGATATATAAATTTATTATAGATTAATATTAGCATTATTCATATATGCATATACATATTTGTAGGTTGTTAAATACTTATTATACAAAACGCGTGATACAAAAAAAAAAAAAAAAAAAAAAAAAAAAGTGATTATTAAAAAGGAAAAAAAATTTTAGCTCTGTAAATTGTAAATTTATAATTATTCTTATTATTATATAAAATTGAGATGATTTAGAAGTACACAAAATAATATGATGTTTATAATTATGTATTTTATATCGTGTAATCTATCCATTTGAATTACTGTAATACTGTAGAAAAGTCTTGGATGGTAGAAATTTCATTTGTCTCCTGTCTAATTAAATAGTAAATTGACGACGTACATTATGGTTAGAGAGATATGCATTAGGGTTAGGGTTGTTAAATGGAGCGGAGCGGGTTTAAGTCAATGTTTCGGGTTTGACTTACAGTAATACTGTAGCGGCTCCGGAGCCACTTATAATCAATTCGATTGGGTCAGCTATTTAATGCGTCTACGTGTTCTTTTTTTGTACATACGTCGTGATCATCAAACTAATAAAATCAAACTATAAGTAGCCAATTATAACATACTAATTGCTAATTAGATATTTTTTATGAAGATCCGAATTTACTGCGGGTAATAGTAACTTTCGGTACAGTTTTCTTTTGAACTAACATAATAATTACAAGTTTAATTGTTTAATTTGTTGTAAATGATAGTTTAATTCGCTTAGAATAGTGTAACTTCGACAAAGTAAACAAGCTTTACTCAAAATGTAACATCAATAAGTTCATTAAAAAACCAAGGTTGTTACTAAAAAGAGAGAAACGAGAGCTACAAACCAAAAAAAAAAAAATTTGATACAAAAATTTTATGTAGTTAACTTGAAAATTGTACCTTCGTAAGTCATATCGTACCTTCGTTAGTTATATTGATAATAAAGAAAATAATAATTATATGTACGCCTACTTATTATTAGTTTGATGATCAATGATCACTCTAATACGTCGTACGTAGTTACTATTAGTATTTCTTGGTATCGTATCGGTATTTGGAATTTTTAACGTTAACAGTTTTAAATTATACAGTCGAGATCATAGATTGACCAATCAAAAATTTTTTATAATTTTGGCCAGAATTATATTTTTGTGATATTTTAGGGGAATGGCTAAAGCCATGTACTGTATCTTAGGATTAGTTTTTTTGATGCATTTAATAGTTTTATTTATATATAGATATCAAGAACAGAATTTATACAATATCAGATATGTAGATCTATATGTAAAGGTACATGGCTTTAGATGACTCCTATTTTAGCGTTTTATATATTCATTTATAGTTTACTTTTTAGTATTAATTAAAGTTGTTAAAAAGCTCGTAAGAACTTGGTCCTTAAGTCAACTATACTAGAACTTTTTAGAACTAGCTAGAGCAGACTTTGAACAAAGTTTTAGATGTAGATTTTTTGTTCAATTCCTGATTAGGAATTGTATATTTTAATTGGCTAATTAAATTAGTTAAATTTTTACAAAGTCTAATATTAATTATTATAAGGTCAAATATTAATTAAATTATTGCAGAGCTAATATTAATTAAATTATTGCAGAGTCTAAATATTATTACAGAGTTTAATATTAATTAAGTAAATTATCACAAAGTCTAATATTAATTAATTAAATTATCATAGAATCTAATATTAATTAATTAAATTATTGCAGAGTCTTTTAAAATTTAAAAAGAAAACTCTTAATATCATATAAGATAAATTATATTAATTGAGATCTGGTGATTTTAGTTTAGTAGTTAGATTGCTAGACTATTATATAAGAGGTTTGAGATTCAAATCCTACTGTCGACAAATTTGAATAATTACCTGAATCTTTGTATTCAACTTATAGTAAACTCTGTTTGTTTCTGGAGGTTACAACTCTGTAAATCATATTGTACTAATATCAATTAGACATTGGAAGTATGATACAATATTTGAGTTATGTTATATGAATAAATCTTAATAGAATCTATAGGCAAAGAACTTGTATAGTAGAAATCCTGAGTTTGATAAAGTAGTATAGATTTTAACAGTCAAGCTAATTAATACTTGATCTAATGAAAAATCTGAATATAGAAGATGCAGATTGAGTAGATACGAGTAAGTTTGCTGTATAATACAGCTTAGTATCTTACATTAGTAGCAATACCAACTTGGTTTGGCAATTAACTAGATTGGAAAGATATATTTCATGAAATATCTAAAATCTCAGATAACTATATCTAGTGAAAAGCTATAGCAGGAATTAGATTTGTACGAATATCAACAAGGATTCAATTCAGATGAATCAGTAAAATAGGTACATGACTATACTAGTAGGAATCACTTCTAAGGTTAATTAAAGCACTGTGTATTCATAATATGTTAGATAATATATATTCTGAGAGGACCTAAGTTATATAGTAAATGGATCCACAAGTAAGTTAGCTGGCTTAAGCAATTAGATATAGTAATGACATTAGTTTGAAATAAGAGAAAAGGTTAATGATCAGAGTGTTTAAATAGATAACTCACAAGTAGGTTACAGATATAGCAGTATGTATAGAACCAACAAATAGTCAATTATCTGCATAGCAGACTATTTAAATTAAACAATAACTAAAGTTGTATATGTGATTTGTTATACACTTATTATGTAACTATAAAACCTTAAAAGATTACTACTATAGTAATTCTGTAATTACAAATTAATAAAATCTAATTAGCCAAGAAGGCAGCCTTAACAATTAAATTATATTAATTAATTGAATTATCACAAGGTTTAATATTAATTAATTAAATTATTATAGATTTTTTTAAAATTTAATAAAGAAAACTCTTAATATTACATAAGGTTAATTAAATTTTAAGAGAATAAACTCTCTTATTTTATTGTAATAATAAGCAAATGAATTGATAAAAAGTCTATCATTTTTTTTTTAAAAAATAAAAATTATTTTAAGCCATATTGATTTTTTTAAAATTTTATTATGTTTTGTCCTATTTCTTCTATAGTTATTAATCCTCAAAACGAAAATGAAAATATTAGTAATAAAAGTTTAAAAAAATTAAAAAAAAATATTACCTATTCATAACTATTTAGAAATAATTGAAATAATATTCATATTTGCAAAATATATTCTGGTGACCCTAATAAAGAACCTAGTAAATAGTATGTATTTATATCTTTAACAACAATCTTTTGTTATTTTGAAACTAAATATAAAATATTTACAAAGATTTCTAATACAAAAATGCTAAAGCTATCTATATTTCATATTTAACAACTGATAAAATCAGAAAAGAACTATTACAGAAAGTGTATCTTAAGCCTTCTTATATATTAACTATAACAAGGATATAGCTATTTAAAGATTTTAAGAAGCAGTGTTAAAGAGGAAGATATAATTCTTGTATTATTAAAGAATCATATTCATCTTTAAAGATAGTAGTTCACATACAACTTAACTCTTCCCAACGATTACTTGAACCTATGTAAAGTAACACCGACCTGTAGAAAAATTTAGAAAATATAACAAAAGGATACACAACTCCTTCTAGTAATATAGTGGAATTAAAATGTTCAGCTCGTAGCTTTTGAAAAATATTGTCTTGGGGTTGCAGCCTGTATTATATGTCTAGAAACTTTTAAATAGAAGTGGCACCGCCAGGAGCTTTTGTCAAGTATTTTTGTTTGTTTATAAAAAACAAATATATACTTGCCCTATTATTATATTCCTTCAAAATAACACAGTCTTATAGTCATTACAATATACTCTACAAGCAAGGTTTTACTGAATATATCTTTTGGACTTTTTCTCTTATCAGCTTTGTTGTTTTTTTTTTTGAAGCAAACTGGGAAAATCAGCTACCCCCCTCTAAAAGATCTACTGATCAACAAACAATATTGGGAATTAGTCTAATTACATTCAGATATACGTAAACAAACACATGTTAGCTAAAGCACATGTGAGAAGAATTCTGTATGGATAGCTATCGGGATTACATTCTGAAGTAAACTCCTCTAGACGCAAACTAGACCTTTTTTAAGTTATAGCGAAAAATATAGAAGAGTAGCTATATACAATTTTTATCTGAGCTATACTAGGAGCAGTATAGTATACTACCTTATCTTCTCATTTTTTCTTTTTCTTTTTTCTCTTTATTTTGTTTATATATCTAGTTTAGTTTGTTTTAACCTATGGCAGGTTTTTTTATAGTCTAGATATTTAGTATAGATCATGCTACTCAGATCTTATACAATTTTTATTTCTTTCTCACGTTAGTTAGATTATATTCTATCTTTCTTTTTAGAGTAGTATTTAGAATTAAGGA